TCGTCTTGAGGTTACGCATAACACATTCGCTGTACTCCTGTTGAGTAATACGATTATACCCGGTTCAAATCATGCCGGCGTGGGCTACATTTATAAAACAAATGTGCGAAGAGCTTCCACATTTAAAAAAAGCGTTGTGTAATAAAATGAAATCGGCGAAATTAATTAAGTTCTAGTGGTGAAAAGTATTGTGAGCCAAACGAGTTGCTATACAATCCTGCTTATTTCATCGCGGAGTGGTCATGCATTCCGGGTTGAAAGGTGATACGACCGTTTTGAGAAAAATTCGACTTCATACTCATGTCAGCGGCGTTCAGATTGCGATGGACTCCAGACTAACTTTTTTTTATGTTTGAAATATTACTGGTGGCCCGGATACCTTTCCAGTTTTACCAGGACAGGTGGGCGAGCAAGGGCTCAGTGAGGAAGGGTTGGATTTGCTAACAGCTATCCGAGCACCTCCAAAGGTGACCTAATAACTCAAGAGTAGCTGCTTTGCGAATGAATCTACTACCGGATTGGAATCGCGACCCGCTGAGAAGATCCGGCGAGAAACAGCGGGCTGATGTTTAGATTGATTAACTTAACCGTAGATGAGCAAAAAACTCGGCTGTCCACTAAAGCAATATATACAATATATTAGCAATAAAACAGCAATAAAATTACGGAGAAATAACTGTAGACACTTGAGGAGATTGAAATTACATATTAATATATTCTTCTTTTGAATAGCCTGACAAAATACGATCATTTATGATAATCTGTATGTGGAAAATCTTATGCTTGGATTTGGGTGTAAGCTTCATTAGTACTGTATATGGTATCCTAAATACGAAAGCCAAATGGTTATGTGTAGGTTATGGTGTAACGGTAGCTATGAGAGTCAGCTCCATCAATTCACTGAATCAGTTCAATCCTCAAGTCACTAAACTTCCACTAAGGTCCCTCTCTTTAGTTTAGTGACCAGCGAGATAGTGTTTTTATTTTATCACAGAAGCGTTTACCTTGATTTCTTTATAAAACCTTCTATGTGTATGCACTAATTTTATTAATATGAAACCTTATCGTGTTATCATCAATCACTTTCAACGACATAATACAAACGTACACAGAACGTGTAAACATAGCCGCGAAAACAATCAGAGAATAGTTCGTGTCTCTTGATGCGTTAAAACTTTAATAGCTAAGATAAAAACGAACTAATGATAATAGTTTTAAGTAATAAACTCGAATGTGTTAATTTAGTTAATTAAATAAAACATGTAAGGTAATTCCCGAAACATGTTGATGCTACATTATGCCTCAGTTATAGGCATGGCTAATGACAATGCCGATATTCACGAGCAACAAAAATCGCTTCGCTACGCTAACCGCGATCACGTTTGTTCGTTTAACCTAATCAAAAGAAACAAAAATTTCAGGATCGCAATCCGGTTTAATCAAGCATGTTCTATTTCAAGAAAACCAGATACAAACAAAACTGCAATATTCTGTAAATACTGACGCATGTAACGCTAAACACAGAAATGATAAAACAACAAGAGCTTACCCCCACCTGATGAAGTAGTTTCTTGAAAATTTTAAATTTCATTCTGAAACACGAATTTCTCAGAACAAACACTAGAACATCACAATAATTTACTGTAACGAATTTAAAACCAAGGTTGAAGGTAAAAACACGTGAAAATTAATATCGGATTTTAGTGTGAAAACGGAAAAAATAAATACACGCGAACGCGAGACGCGACCGATCGACGCAACGGACGCGCCGTTTGTGACTCGTGTTGAGAGTTGTGGCTGTAAAAGGGGGAGAAAGGAATTTCTAGCATAACTTTATTATCGTAACCCTTACTACGGAACGCGATTAATGAGTCGCATAGGAAGTAACACGAACTGAACATTCATAGTCGGTTAGTTTACTTTTCAGTATTTGTCTTATGACAACGTATCATTTTGAACTAAATAAATAATAGTTTATATATATATATAAATAAATAATACCATGCACCCCACGCTTTTTTACAATAAAATATTTTTTTCTTACACCATTTTTAATTCAAATTTATTAATATTTATTTTCTATTTTTTAGTTGGATTTTCTATAAAGGCGTATTTTGTTAGATTTTTTTTTATTATACTATTATACATTTTGCATTTTTAGTTCAATTTCAACTTTTTAAATTTTTTTTTTTAATATTGTGTTGTCGTCGTTTCATATTAAGTATACCAAAATTCGAGTTAATCCGACGTTTTGAAGGGGGTCAAAATCATGTTCAAATATTCCGTTACATACATACTTCTGAAGCTAATAAAAGCGTATTAAAAATACGTCAATCTAGACATATTCGTGGTAGAGAAATAAATAATCAACGATGTTTTGTTTGTTTTGTTAAAGTCCCCGTGATCTACATTCGATGTAATAAACTGGAATTATGCGCTATCTTTGGTAAACGCACGGAGCACACGCGTCAATCAAAAACATCGCCATCGAACTGAATAAGAAAAATGTTTGAATTCGCAAAAGAAGATTATAAGAAATACGCATCTATTCCAATTAAAAAAATTGACTCTATTTTTTTATGTTTGGATTTTGGTAGGTCTAAATCATGACCAAGATTTAATATGGCATTGATACCAAAACAATTGGAAAAACACTTACTAATTGAAGAAGACTTAGACATGAGATGACATAGATATTTATGCTTGGTATATGCATCAGTGTGCTGATTGGATGGTGAAGCTGAGATCAGACTCAATTCTTAATTGAAAGGGGGTGGGATGTACATGCCGAAAGGAGGTTTCGGAATCACGGGTTACCATAAATTTGTTAATATTATATAATGCCTAATATAATGCCTTTCGATAGTTTGTTATTTAGAATTCATTCATACGTTGAAGTCACTAACAATGAAAATGAATGTCACTGTCAAATGATCACGACAGTGCACAACATATTGGAGAGATAAGCATTTTTTTTATTTTACGCCCAGATCATTTCCACGAAAAGAATGATAAAAAAAAAAAAAAAACTCAAGTTTTATATGTAGTAACTGTCTTCGAAAACGCAATGCCGAATAGCGTCAACGATTTTTGACAGGACATTAGGTAAATAAGAACAAATAACTAAAAATAGGTATGTATGTACCTAACGACGTCTGACAAGACATTAAATAAAAGCAAAGAACCTGAAATAGGTACATATGTACTGATTCTCGTTTAATTATAATTTACACATGACCCTAGCGGTGACACCCTAATGTTTTAACTTTTTAATTAAATGACGCGCGTATTCTACTGTTTTATGTAAAGATCATTTTATTATATTCAACAACTGACAGCTTTAATTTCACGGGGTATGAATAAAAACGGCAAGTGGCATCTGAACTTATCAAATTAATGTTACTCACGGTGACTCAACGCAGTTATTTTTCCGGTTTTGTTCAGAAAAGCCCTACCATCTGTATATATTTTTTTCACAACAGAGTAACAATGAAAAAACTGGCATATAACTGAGTCACCGCTTAAAATCGACATTAAAAATTAGACAGAATGTAATTTTCTTTTATAGTAATTTCTGTTCAAATATTTTATGAACAAACAAGACTTTAATTGACTCTTCCATAACCAATAGTTTCGATAAAACTAGCTCGGACTCTATCATTTTCGAAAAGAATTAATTATAGATCATTTTCTATCAGACGATACGTGAGCCCCTTTTCTATTATTAGCCAATAACACGTTTTAACATCTGAAGGACATTGCTGTAGAATTTGAAGCCCGTGCGAGTTTAAATACGAGGTTTATCTATTTTATTTGCGCTTCAAAAGTTTTTGTTTTATAGTCTTTTTATTATCATCATATGGTCGTGGTTGAAAATTTAAACTAAACAAACACTAGACATAGTATGTATTACGTTTTGTATACGTATTCATCGATTTTAATATTTAAAATACACATGTGTTTAATTATGTATGTTTAATGTGTTTACCTACGGTGAATTTCTTTGCATTACCTTGGCTCGCCTAATAGAGAATAACATAAGCATCAAGTCCGCCAGTGTACCAAAATTCATAAAGTGGTATCCAAGTAATATATATAAATGGACTAGCTGACCCGGCAGACCTCGTACTGCCTCAATCGATAAATAAAAGACCGAAATTTTTGTATAATATAAACTTAAATCAATCAAAAGGAATCCGTCCGACGGCGGACACATCAAAGGAAAAACAAAATTCCAAGCGTTTTCATATTGATCTACATTTTAAACCTTCTGTGGACTTCCACAAAAAATTTAAGACCAAAGTTAGCCAAATCGGTCCAGCCGTTCTAAGTTTTAGCGAGACTAACGAACAGCAATTCATATATATATATATATATATATGTATATATATAG